TATTTTGTTTTATTTTGCGTTTTGTTGTTGGTTTTTTTTATTAGGCTATCATTTATACTTTCTACTTATTAAATATAGAAAATGAAAATATATATATATATATATTTTAAGAATGGCACCTCATCACGTAAAAAAAATATGAGTAAAAATTTCACATAATAAAAAATTTGGTCAATAACATGAACCGACTTTAATGTAGTACATGCAGTCAAATTTTTTTTAACCAAATGTCAGCCACAAACTTGTGATGAAGGGTCCAGATGTTTATATTTTTTAACGTCGCTATGAACGGCTAACTTGACAATGATAGTCCAGGTGGGGTGTGAACCTCCTGGGAGTTCACACTCGTACCTTAGGGTTGTGTGTAGGAAAGTGCTACCTATCCAAGTTAGTCTAGATTGGAGGCCACCCATAAGGTAAGATACTGATAGGTTCTAGAGCATAATTGCATGTGTTTGCAGGGTGGAGTAACTTACTGAACATTCTCTTAAATACTGGGTCGTGTAATATCATCTTTGGGTAAAGAAATTTTTTTAATTTATTAAGATTTATTTTTTTCTTTTACCTAAAACAAGACAAATGGAAGATAGACAATTCCTCCCTAACGTGTTGTCACCTACCTAACAAAAACTTGTCTAATTCTACCCTGGCATACCATGATTAGTCCTAATGATAAGGACAATTTTTATTTTTTATTTTCAATTTTATTGAAATGTTAATTAGAAAATTTTCAAATTTAATGGTAAAGTGGAGTAGTAATATTAATATATTAACACTCTCTCATCTATAATATTAAATATGTTCAAAGATGGAAGATGACAGATTGTCTAATACTTAACAAAAACGTGCCTAATACTACCTGGCCTACAACTTATTATATTTAAAATGATTAGTCTAAAATAAGGATAATTTTTATTTTTTATTATTAAAACTTCAAGAATTTTATTATTAAAAAATTAATTAAAAAATTTTCAAATGTAATTACAAGGTGTATTAGTATGCTAAACAATTATAATATTAATATATTAACACACTCTCATATATTAAATCTGTTCAAAGGACCATGGAAGATGACAATTCCTCTCTTACCTACCTATTGTCCCTACCTAACAAAAAACCTGCCAAATTCTACTTTGGCTTACCAACTTCTTACATTTAAATTAAATATTTACATTTATTTTAATATCTCATCAATTTTGTTTTCTTTATAATATTTCACGAATTCAAATTAAATCTACAGTAACCTTAATGAAAAATAAAACATAAAATCTGGCCTTAAATTATATTAATATATTAACACTCTCTCACATTTGTAAGCTTGAGAATTTGTATAAGTTCAAACAAATGTAAATTAATTTTAATTGGTGAGGAACTGATATTAACAAATGTACGTATGTCTCACGAGGATACTATGTCATGAAATAATGGTGACATGAGTTGTATCATAAGTATATGTTGTGATTTAAAACTATGGGTCATCATGCATTTTGTATGTCATATGTATTAGGAAACTTCCCCATTATGATACTTATATACCGAATGCTATTATGCGGGGTCATTTTCCTCCATAGCTCCAATATTGTGAGCGTGCACTAGCTGAAGGACAGACCTAAAGAGTACGTATACACCTGCCTAGTGGGTTCCTGTGTAGAGAGGTGCTACACACCTAATTTTCATATGCGTTGGAAAGTAGAGTTGAAGGTCATGGTATTTTATAAAAGAATAGGTCCTACCATGATTGCTAATTGCATTTCTTGACCCCAATAGTGTGACTACTTATTGAGTATTTTTAAAGACCCGAGTCATATCGGACTAAACCATAGAACAATGTGACGAGTGAGTTTGAAGTGTTCAAATTCAAATTAGGGAATATGCGCTACATATATACGATATATTTAACTGCATTTTTTATTTTATTTACGAATTAAACAAAAAGAGAGAATTTGAGATATTTAAATAAGATTTAAATATCTTAATCAATTATTGGGATTGATATTTGAATTAATATTAAATATTAATTAAATAGTTTAATTAATCCTTTAATGTTACTTTAATTTGAAATTAATTATTCAAATTAATTGTTGAATTAAAATGAAGAAAGTCAAAATGTTGACTTCATTTAATGGAAACATACATGTTAGTGGAATTTTGAGGGGTAAAAGTTTGGTTTAACCAAACTCTTGCCAAATAAACCTCACAAGTTTGAGTGGAATTTTGAGTGTCAAAATTTGGTTAACTCAAACATGCATGTTTGCCACATAATCCCAAACAAAATCGATTAGATGATAAAATGAAGATGAAAATTATAATGTAGAAAATTAATAGTTTAGTACATTTAAGAATTTTTTCCCCTCGTATCTATTAGGAATAATCAATTTAAATGTAACAACTTTGTAGATAAAATTGGACTTATTCAATTTTTTGTCGAGTAACAAACATGATAGCAGGTCATGGAGGAATTGTCATATTCTATCGTACCCTATTTTCACGTGACAAAATAAACATATAATAATTTCGGTGAAGAAAGTCTTTCAATGTACTTTTTTTTCATATGGCCTTACAATTAAGTTTTTGTCCCTTTTCTCTTCGACTAAATTTATTTAATATTAATTTAATTTTGCTATTAGAGTGTGCAGATGTAATGCCTTAAGCCCATCGCTATTAGATATTATGTAGGTATTGTCCATTTTGGCTCATTACGTATCGTCGTCAGTCTCAGTTTTTAATACGCAGCTACCACACCCTTTATGGGTCCAATGTCCTTGTTGGCACACAATCGATGTCTGGCTCTGATACTATTTGTAAACGTCTAAGCACACCGTTAATAGATATTGTTTATTTTGACTTATTATATATCGTCGTTAGTCTTACAATTTTTAGAATGGATCTAGAAGGGAGAGATTCAAAACACCCTATAAAAAAATATTTCGTTCTACTCTCCAACTAATATAAGATTTTCCATTATACCTTGGCAACGGCCAAACCCTTATCTTATTTAGTAGCGCGTGATAAATGTTAGTGCCTGCAAAGCTGCCATGGCCCTTCACCGGGTCAGCCTCATCCTCGTTCGATGCACCACTGGTCCACACTCTACTTGAATCCGGCGCTTCACCGGGTCAGCCTCATCCTCGTTCGATGCACCACTGGTCCACACTCTACTTGAATCCAAAAACTTATTTTGTCCAAATTCCAGTCAACAACGCATCACGTGTCCCACGCACCCATCCCACATTCCCCTAAAATTTAAGCCCATTTTTTTCTTTTTAGGCTTGGAAATTGGGTTCAGATTTCCAAGTCTAAAAACAATGCATAATATATAGATTTAGAAAATGCTGAGTCAAGTACCATTTTTTAAACTCATTTAAACAGTAATTTTATCAAATTGATTTTTCATAAAATAACTATTTTAAGTTTTAATAGTTTATTAAATGTATAATGTAATTATGAATATATGTATTAATACATTAACATAGGCTTGTGTTGAAGTCATATAAGTTAATTTATATGTAACCGTTTGAATTTGAAAAAAAAAAAAAGAAGAAGAATAATAGAGAAAACTCGAGAGTTACGGACTATCAAAATCGAGTGAGTTTACATCCACGCAATAATTAGTGAGTTTGTTAGCTTTTCTCTGTATTTTTCTTCAATAATTAGATAGAAGTTCTTAATAGGATGGAATACCTTTTGGTGGGTCACTACAAACATTCAAGCACAAGTCAAATCAATCTTTAAATATGATAGAACGTCGGTTAAGGCCAACCATGTAAGCGGTCTTACTATCGGCTCGATCAAAAGACTTGTCTTATGTATGACGACTTGTGCCTAGTGGCCCTTACACGTGTCATCTATGATTTATGTTATATGATGATATAATGATGTTGTATGATAAAGTGATGATGTTATATAATGATGCAATGACGTTATATGATGATGTGATGATGTAGATGATGACATGATGATGATGCATGATGACATGATGATGTAAGATGCATGATAATGAAATGACTTAATATTATGATATTTGATATTTAGTTGATATGCATGTATTAAATGTCATGATGCATGGTGACGATGAGTTTTCTAAAACACAATCCTAATTTATGTTAATGAGAATGAACGTATGAAGTCCAATGTATGCTTGTTACCTAGAGTAATGTATGAATGATGTATAAGGTTGTGTCGTAAGAATGATTTAAAGATGAAAACTATAGGGACCACATACATATTGTGTGTTCATATACATCAGGTTACTTACTCATTCATGATGATCAATACGGACGCATACACTATGATGATGATGATGATCATCATCATCATCATGTCTCACATGATACTCGGGGATTTTCTTGTAACGATCCTAAATTTTCACTTACCTAGAATCGCTACCGTCATCATCATCTATACTCATGTGAAATTAAACATTTAAAATTTTATTATAAAATATAATTCTTCTTAAAACACTGTTATAGACTTAAGGTTCAAAAACATCTTTACAACGATACAACAAACTCAATTGGGTCGAAAATGCTTCTAGAAGAGTCCAAAGCAGTCAGGCAGTACTAATTAAGCCAACTAGCTAGTCGAAGATTTTTTATCTCTTATTTTTTTAATTTAACCATAACATATTCACTACCAACATTGGCTACGGTAAAGTTGCAAGAAGATGGTAATTCATTTAAGAGTCGAGACATTAGGAGAGATTATAATAAGATGTGAAATGGTTCACATTTTAGGTATGGCCAAAGAAATAAGTTCTAAATGACAATAAGCTTATAAGTATCATGATGCTAGGTGTGTTTGCATGTTTCAAAAACATGTTTCAAACTTTATAACGAGAATACTTATAGGGTAATACTCTATCATTTTTCTTTTAATTTGTTGTAGGTAATGGTAATGGCAAAGGCATACTAAATGTGTCATAAGTTCAGTTATAATGTTATTTTTAGAGTTTAAAATTTTGTTAACTATTTTTTTTTACTCAAATAGAGCTCTTACATTTTTATTCAAATAAGCCATAAATTTTAGGCTCACAAAATTTATTGTCAATACAGATGTTCAACAAGGCACGTAGTTCACAAGAAGAGATTCAATAATAAATTTTGTTTTGCCATTTGAATTTGTGTATCCATCCTCATCTGAATAAATCACGTTCATAACTCTTGAAAAATTTACTGTCCGCATTAAAATAGGCATTGGAACAGCAATTGGACGAAGACATGCTTCATTTACATCCTTCCATGCATCAACCACTTGCTTATGAAGTTCAACACAAGCTTCTTCCTCTGAACAACCATATTGCTCTATGTAACATTCAACCGCAGAAGCAATATGTTCCCTTTCTTGCTCAAACTGAAAAAGAAAAACATATAAGTAAATGTAGTTTACTCTTAAAAAGTTGAACTTTGTTGGTGTTGCTTTTGAAGGATAGTAAACCTTGTGGGAAACGATGTCGTCCATGAGTCTACAAATGATCGTTGAGCCTTTAATAATTTTAGGTCTTCTAGAAACCCATTGAAGTACATCATTCGTTACCATGTTGCCCATGCCGAGAAGTGAAATGCTTATAAGCAAGGAATAACCTGTTGTTTTTAATGCCAATTCCATGTGCTCCTTAAAATTTGGTTTGTAATTTTTGCTTAACCATTTAGCTTCTTTAAAGTAGGATTCCGCTAGTTTCTTTATCTGTTAAGATCAATGAAAATGAAATATCTTATATACATGAATAAAAAGGTGGGAATAAGATAGAGGAGGTAGAAGAAGAAAGTTTACTTCTTCTTTCGCAACATGAATGTGGAGTGAACTTTCATCCTTGTCTATCTCTTTACTAATTTCTTTATAAACATCTAACATTGCTATATAAAACGGTTTCATGTACTCGGGGAGTACATTAACCATGCTTCTATCCCACCTGAAAAATTTAATGATGTCATTGTTAATAAAATCTTCAAACTTTATTTTGAATATGGATTATGTTAAAATATGATCACTAGCCCAATAATTATATCAAGCCCATCATGTATATTTATTTTAAGAAAATGATTTAGGTATTTTAGGAATAAAGATACATATATATTTTAGGAAAATGATTTAGTATTTTAGGGATAAATATACCTAATTATTTTAAAAAAGATTTAGATATTTAAAAAAAAATATTTAGGAATAAATTGTCTCGTCCCTACCATAAATACTCCTCCATCCTACCTAGGTTTTCATGTGTCAAGAGTGCGAGTTTTTCCCACACAGAGTTGTATTAAACAAATTATTCCCATCTAAAAAAAATTTGTATGGTGTTTTGAAAGAGTGTGTAGTACATTGAACAAAATATTATATATATATATATATATAGTGTGTGTGCGCTATGTATTTAAATGACCTTTGAATAGCTGTAGTGATGACTTGGAGTTCTTCAAATGTTCCGTAGGCATCATATATATCATCTAAAATTGAAGAAATGGCGGTTACTTTGGTTAATATTTTTCTACCAACACTGAATTGAGGCTCAAAATATACCCCTAACGTCCATAAGTAGCACTCAACAATTCTGTCTCTTGCAAAAGAAAAATTGGTTTCGACCTTTAAATCCTTCCACCACCTATTCAATATGTAAACAAGATACAAATATAATTAGTGGAGAAAAAAACATTTAACTTAAAAAATAAAAAAATTCAAATCCAAACATCACCTATATAGTAGGTAAGAATTAATAGTTTGGCTTAATAGCTGGGAAATCAATATTAACTGGAGAGGAAATGAAATTTAACCGGTTCAAGTCATGCTTTAAAACTCATTTTAAACTACTCATAATCCCTCATAAACTCAAAAACTTGATCAAATATATTATATTAAATTTAATGATATGAATAGTGTATTGAATTTAAAGTTAGAAGAGATAAAAGAAAGGTTATAGATAGAAAAAAAATTATACGAAGTTGTATAAACATATAGATAAGTATAAACCTGATGACTTCTATCAACTCCTTTTGATGAAGTCTCTGTAATAGGTTGAAATCCAATTTTGAGAAAGTAAGCAAAGTTTTAGAATGTGAAGGATCTTCTTGATATATCGATATGTACTCTCTTGCCTTCATTCTTGGAATGGCTTTTCTTAGGGGATATTTCAAGGCGCTCTTAACTTCAGCGACAAAAATTGAGCTTGAGTTGGATATAATATTTTTTAGATGTTTGACACTAAAATCGAGAGCTTCCTCAAGAACATCTTCTCCATGTATCCTCATATGTGCCGCTTCATATAGATTTAAAATTCCTCTAACATCTTCCGCAAGTGATTCTTTGAATTTTCCATTACTTTCTACAAATTTCGTAAATATGTCTGCTTCAAATTCATGTACACAAAACAACTGTTAGCTCTTAAAACTATGAAAATATTAATTTTCTTTAGTTGCAATAACTTTTAATTTTTCAAAAAAAGAGTTAAGATTTGAATAAACTTACCGCAAGGAATTTTATAACCTTGTTGTCTAAGGAGTCGAAATAGAAGAGAGATCGTATAAAGATCATCCCATCAATATTTGTGAACTCTCTATAATTCTCATATATTTGTTCTAAGATTTGATGAATCTCGTTCTCAAAATGATAAGATACATTTAACCGCTGAATTGAATCAACCAGATTTAGTATCTTGAGAGGATTTCTATTACAAATCAATAACATCTTTTTCAATTTGACTTTCATCTCTTTAGCTTGTTCCTCCATTTCACCATCTATTTTCTGAAATTTACAAGACAAAAAGTCAAGAAAGTTCAAAGAGAAAACTAACGGTTTAATATAATGAACAAATAAGTATGATTATATTATAATTCATGAACATAGACGACTAATTTACCATTGCTTCGGATGATAATGAAAGGAAATGGTCCTTCCATATGCTTGAATGAAAGTTTGCAATAGGACGTTTGACTTTAAGAGTGTTTGGGCTCTTCATAGATGAAGCAGAAACGGGAGAAGTAGAAACGGGAGAAGCTTTGTGAGACATTTTCTATCGATTCGTTCTAGGAGAAGAAGCGAAGAAATTAGGGTAACTTCACTACCAAATGAGTTCCAATGCATTTGAAGAAGTACTCAGATACTTATATAGATGTTTTTAGATTACGTGGAAAAATTCTTATCACAAAAATTGTGTGATGTTCTGAGGAACTACATCACAGATACCTATAGATGTATTTTTTTTTTTTTTTTTTAATAATGTTTTGTTGTTGGTAATTTTTTTTATTATGTTATCATTTATATTTTCTGGTTATAAAATATATAAAATTAAAAATGATTAGAAATATATATTTTAAAATTATAATTTTAGGAATAACTTAATTGATCACGTGAAAATTTCACATAATCAAACAAACGGTCAAAAACAACCAAATAATAATACTATACAATACTTTTTATTTAGTCTTAGTGAGGTTAATTAGAATTCCAAAAACTCTTAAATGAACTAAAATCATTATAACTTTCATCTACTAATTTTTATTTTATTATCTCATAACTTTTTTATAATATTTCATTGCATTCAAATTAAAGGTATAAAAATATATAAATTTCAAAAGATAAAATATAAATCATATTTTTCTTTTATATTTTCTACCTTTAACAAAATCATTTTTTTACAACATTTTTTTTAATCTATTTTTCTACCGAATTATTAAAAGTCTGACTACTTTTAATTAGAAAAATTTCGTAAATAACTCTCGTAGACTAAAGAAGCACTACAATTGTAGGTGAGTAAAAGATAAATATAAGAAAAGAAGAGACGTAGGTAAATAACCACCGTTCAGGCCACGAGGAGTCTGATTCCAGCCAAGCTTCCTTCGCTAATCCTTCACAAAACCTAAAGGAGAAGCATTCTGGATCTTTTAATCATACAAAATTGTCAAGAAATAAGGAAAATCGGAAGGTGAGTTATTGAATTCTTGTTCTCGAATTTTCATAAGGTATGTGAGAAATATTAGAAGTTAGGTTATGAAATTTGAGTATGCTAATCTAAGAAGAATTGCGTTCATAATCTGTGAAGTAAGTTGTAATCGATTCGGATTGAAGATAAGAATTCTGATGTTCGTAAAAATCGGTAACTTTTGGCTAACTTTGGACCACGTTATATCTACCTATATTTAGAAATAAATTACAAGAAAAATACATGCAAAATCAGGAAGAAATCATATTAATCTAAGTTATGTAACACAAAATACAAAAATGCAAAGAAAATGAAGAAGTATACACTTCAGACAGCTATTGGGACACGTGTCAAGTGAAGAGGCGGGAGGTGCGTCCGGCTTCTAGTGCAACACGTGTCAATGATCTGCGCCGTGACGCGTCGCATCGAATCTGACCTGGTGACCGACTCCACTCTACTACCGTAGATGTTAGAATTTATGCCACAAAACTTCGTAAAGTTTTTAACAAAAATTTTTATTCTTTATTTGTAATTTAATTGTTATCCATTTTATGAAAATTCAAGGTTATTAATATAATCTTGAACCATATGTAGTTGACGTACAAAAAGGTCATGTTCAAGTAATAACTTAAAGTGTCTATAGTATATAGATAAAGTTGGGTGTCTTATCAGGGTAATACTATTGATACAGCCCACTTTGTAATCGTTACAAATGATTTGATTCAAATCTTTCAGGTGGAGACATGTAAGTGGGGTATCCTATGCAATGAGTTTGTATAAGACTGGACTAAGAAATATTTAATCTCTTTTTATAAATCCGTTTATTGAGAAGATTAATATTTCACATGAGGATCATTCCGAAGTTTTATTTAACATGAAAAAGATTAATCCGTATAGTGGGGTATTCTATGATCATTTCACATGAAGATTAATATTTAATCTCTTTTTATAAATCCGTTTATTGAGAATGACATTCTATGCTACGTTTCTACAAAGATAATTTAATAAAAATTGAATTGATTCGTAATGCTTTCGCTATGTGGATGGTGAATTCATTCCAAGTTCATTCTCTTCACCTTAATCATCGAACCGGGAACCCACGCGCCACCTGAAATCGTTCTCTAACCCTACTCCGCCTTTGCCACGCGTCAACGTAATAAAATTCGGATTTTCAGCGCGCGCCTCAAGACTCAAACCCACACATTCTATCTTGGTGGACCAAAGCGCATGTCCTTCTCCACGTAGGTGCATCCGTACGCGTGCATGGCGGTGCGTGTGGAAGGCCCCTCCAACGCGTGGTGCGCACGTGAGACCCCTTTATAAGCCTGATTTGACTCTCACTTGACTGTTTTTCGTCTCTATTTTGATACTGCCTGAATTTCACTTGATTTACGACCTACAAGTAAGCTTTCAAGAAATTTGGGGCTCCCAACTAACTAAAAAGCAAGCTTCAAAGGGTACACTTCCTCCTAGTAAGGAACCACCCAAACTGTAGGCAAGTAATACTTGTAGGAATTACTAAGGGAATAAGCTAGCATGTGAGTATAATGTACCTTAGGTGGTTAGAATATGTGTGATTAGAACCTAAAATGAATAATTTGGATATCTATGACATGTATATTACAACGAAATTACACTTAGAACAAGAGAATTGAAAAGTATGTCTAATTTAATGTCTTATGTTGTGGTATGATGGAGGAAGGGTAGGAAGGGATATTTTGATCTGTGATCCAGGTGATTGATGAATGTTATCTCCCATCGAACCTGTTTGACTGTGTGTATGATTTATTAATTGATTTTCATGCATCAAGGGTTAGTAGGAATACCTTCTTAATAAACATATGAGATTGGTAGACACGTTTTATGTGCTAAAGACGGTTGATAGATATATTTTCCTAGTAAAGCATCCAACAAGAGTTTAATTAAGATTAGGGCCCTATAACTAGTTTTGTTTACATGTGGAATTATGGGTTATACTTATGTGCACCCAGAGATTGGATAAGCCGAGGGGCTAACTTCGAACATCTTGAAACTGAGAAATAGAGTATAAACCCCATGAATGCCTTCAAGAGCCTAGTAGACCTCCATGATGTATGAATATGATCCAAGTAGCCTACAGAATCACGAAACTAGTTGAGTTACTGTTGAGTGTTGAGTCGGGTCAAGGTCGACGCTCTAATCCCATTAAACTCGTTCTTGAGAAGAACTAGGGATTACATGGGTAGTTAGCTCAAGACATGGACCCCTATATGAAGTAAAAACATGTGAACCTATAAACCAGTCGTGTTTGACATGGGCAGGTGTCAAAATGAGATCCCCTATTGAGTGTAACTAGGGATTACAAGGGTAGGTGTCAAGATGAACACCCCTATTGAGTGTAAAAATGAGTCAAGGTCAACGCCTCGACTTCGTAAATCTATCTTGGAAGAGATTAGGGACTATGTGGGTAGGTGGTTAATATGAACACGTCTATTGAATGTAGGAACGGGTCAAGATTGATGCCATGACTCTGTAAACAAGTCTCGAAGAGGGACTAGAGACTACATGGGTAGACGATCTATGAGGAATCATTTGGAACTTGAAGACCTACACAATAGTTTAGAGCATTGTAAGGGTGAACCTAAACTTCTTATAGACCAAAGGAAAGTCGTGGAAACCTACTACTTGATTATATTTTCATACTCACTCCTATTTTCCTTTCTTTTTCAAGTACCAGTCGAGGTGGAGAGGTGCTTGGGAGCTGCATTGTCATAGAGGAGTGTCGTTCTAGAACGTCAGTCCGTTTTTTAATTTTGGAATCTTTTGTATTTTTTTTTTTTTTTTTTATAATTTTATCATTTGTAAAATGTTGTACAACATCTTTGTTGTTTGTTTTTTTTATTTAAACTTTATATGATTTTTTTCTTTTATTTTATTGTACTTTTATTTGTATTTGTTTTTAATTTTGTCTTTTTCATTTTGATTCTATTTTCAACCCTCGAAAATTGGGTAGTGACATGATGTAGAACTAATGCACACTTAACGTCATTAGAATTTCTTTTAGGCATTATTCATGATCTACTTCCATCTTGGTGTTGGTATATCGGTCAGAGACAACAATTTTGGTCATATCAGGATAGCCTTATGAATACTAAGTTTGTATGATCCTTAAACTCTACAAGGTATTGATCAGGTTTCAGGGCATAACAAAAATCTCTTAATGTCCATACACCTTCTGAAAGCAAAATTCAATATGTCGTTCTCTCTAACCCTAATTTGAAGGTAACCTAACCTTGCCATGTCCCTTTTGATCATTACCTTCTCAACAAAAATAGCCTTGTAATTTCTTCTCATGTGGCCAACTCAGGTCTTTCGTTATAGTGCAACTCGGTATCACATGGTAGCTTGAGCATGGATACTCATCTAAATTAAGTAAAAACTATTTTAAAAATACTAAGTAATCTACTTGTAGGCTCTCATCACATCCTTAACATATTAGTTGCCACGTGCTTTTCTCTTGACTTTAGGAAGTTCGGGCCTAGTATCTATGGCTATCTAAGCATTTGAAGTACGTTGATGTTCCAAGTGGTACTCTAGCTGCTCATGGATTCACTATAGGTTTGGAATCGATGGTTCACCCATTTCTTGTGTCGCAGGTCTATTATGCGACAAATCTCATATCTAGGGTGAACTGTTTTTCTGTTCTTAGACTTAAGTAGATTACTTTACTTATGCACTGAATGATTGGCATCTTGGGTTGAGTCGTTATCTCATAAGGTATTGTTATGAAAGTATGATGTCTGCTTATCTAAACATCATCCATAGAAGGTTAGTTGGCGGATCCTCCCACAAGACCATAAAATCACCTAGGATTGGAGAGAGCGATCCTAGTGCGCCAGCTACTAGGTCACATTCCCTTCTCTTGAATAGACTTATAGTGTAAAGGCACTATTCAAGAGATCCCTGACCATTTCCACAAGGTTTGGGCATGCACTACCCTAACCGTCCTATACCTACTCGATAGCACTAGTACCAATGTGGAAAGGGTAATGGACACTCTGATGACATTGTTAATACTACTATAGCTTGAAGAGCTACCTTCGTCATAC